ACGTCGTCGATATATGTAAATGTCGAATTGAAGGCCACAGCAAGTGTTTACTTGCATTGAATTTTGCAGAAATTCTACTTCAAATATATACAAAAATAGGTCTGCTAATAACCGAGCGCAATAGGTACCTATGAGAATTCCAATAGATTGTTGGAAGACCTAGTCGCCAAAATCAATATAGATATTGTCAATTAGAATCTCGGGCATCTTTTTTATGTCATCTTCAATGTACTTTTGTGTGCAGTCAGAATGAATTGTAACTTTTTTTTGCAAATGACCAATGACCAAGTAAGTAAATTTACGAATGCCATTTTTATTGAAAAGCAACTGTCAATTATAAATAAAAAAAATAATTTCTGCTCAACAAAAAGGAATTTAAAAAGAGAAGATAACAAACAGCAATTGATCTAAAAATAATACAAACAATAAAATTCTGTAAAATTTACATCAACACGAATCCCCGGATTTCGTTTTCTTTCTTTCTTTTTTTCTTTTTGGTAAACTATTTTTTTTTTTCGATAAATTTCACGATTTTAACATTATTAATTAGATTACATATTAAATTAGATAACCCTTCATTAGTATAACAATTTTTCCTTACCATTTTAGGATTTTTATGCCTGGGTTGTACGATTTAAAAGAAATCCCGTGTATATGCTAATATGAAAGTAATAACAGAATGTCTAGACTTAAAACTGGTATACCTGCTATACAATCTCTAAAAAAGAGTAGGGTATTACGGTGTAAAAATATTTTATTCATTCATTTAAAATAATATAAAGCATGTCTGACTTACGAAACTGAAGGAGTAAGATAAAAAAAAACCCCACAAAACCTGTAAACCATTATAGGAACTAACACATCAAAAGTATCAGAGAACAGAATGAAGACATGGTTTTTAAACGAACTCAATAAAGAGATAGAAATAAGAGAGGTAACATTCTTCAAGGCAAGTTCATTAAATAATTGAAAGGTATTTTTATATAATCTCACTGTCCACTGTTGGTTTGCAAGAACATATTAGGTCATTACGTTTTTTGGTAATTTATACTGTAATTAAAAGTTGTTTAGCAAGTTTTAGTTGCTCATTGAATGGTTTTAGGAGTGGTCAAGAACAAATTTATGTTTTTTAAGAATAAATATTCTTTAAAAAAAATAATGTGCAAATCCTAAAATAAATCATTTGCAGTTCTTTGATTTATTTGAACATATAAATCGTTAAAAATTATTTATATAATCTATTTTCTTATTTATATCATTAGAAAAGGATTTATCTAATGTAAAATGAAGGACTGGAGATAACGAACAGTATTCATCTCAAAGTCCATCAAACAATATACAAAATCAAGAACAGAGCAAACATGGACCTCCAAAACATCAGAGGTGGGATCAGGTGCCATGGAGGAGTGAGCATCCCCTGCCGACCGGTCACACCCGCCGTGTGCTCGTTGTCGTGATCAGGAAATAACTGAAAAAATCCGTCGTCAATTCCGTGTATAAATATTGGACTAACAATTGGTATGAAAAACGTCTGTCAGCATTTGACTCAATGATAAATTGTATTTGCTGACAAGGTCATTGTATCGACCATAGAATTTACGAAATGAAGACTTTAAACGAGACTGTTGATATTCTTGTTTCATCAACTTGTTTGTCAATAATTTACCTCGATTAAGAAATTGTTCATACGTAGAGCATGCTCTTGCGTATCGAATCAACTGAGATATATATTCTCATTATATATTCTATATGCAGGTGATGAAGGTATATTGCTGCATTAGTATGAAGCAGAAGTGTCAGACGCTGTGGTATCTTTTATCTCAAGCTCACCAGGATATATCGTATCGACGTAGGAGTGGAAATTATCATTATTAATTGACAATACGTCGTCGATATATCTAAATGTCGAGTTGAAGGCCACAGCAAGTGTTTTCTTCTTTTCACGCATAAGATTTTGCATAAATTCTGCTTCATATGAATATAAAAATAAGTCTGCTAATAACGGAGTACAATTTGTACCCATGGGAATTCCATTAGATTGTTGGAATACCTGGTCTCCAAAAACCACATAGATATTATCAATCAGAAACTCAAGCATCTTCTTGATGTCAACTTCAGAGTACTTATGTGTGCAATCCGAATCTGTTTTAACAAAATAATTTTGCAAATGACCAATGACGAGGTAAGTCAATTTACGAGTTCCATTTTTATTGAAGAAGCAGCTGTCAATGATATCAGAAAGCCTGGATTTTAATTTGTCGTGGGGAATTGAATGTGATTTTGTCAAGATAATCTGGTCATCCTTAGAAGATTGGATTTGTTTAAAATCTGGTAGAACGTTGCAATTTAATATACAAAATGTAATCCTCTGTACTGCAGACATTGATGTGGGTTTGAATACTATTATTGAATATTAATATTGTATTAGTAAAAAAAAATATATCTTTCAGACATCAAGAAAAAAGTGTACCATTTTATTTAATGATTTATTATTGTACCCGAGTAACTATTTTGTTATAGAAAAAAAAGTATATGAGGTTGAACAATTTGAAAAAAGATGGTCTAATTGGAAATTTTCAAAGTAATGACTAAGCATATGAGTTTTATCCTATTGTTATATTGACTGATATTTATTCACCCCCCTTCCACATGTAATATTGTAGGTGTGAGTCTCACTCTGTATGTATGTGTGTGTGTGTCTGTTTGTGAGTGTGTCATTAACTATATTTAAATGTCTGCTTCCGAACATATATGTAATGTGTTGTTTCTGTAAAATAAAAAAAAAATGGTCATTTTAAAAAAATAAAAAAAACTAGAAACGATACTCGTTGCGAGCAACGAGAGGTCTTCCGTCCAATTCCGAAAAAAACGTAAAATCGAGTTGAAAAAGTAAAAAAAAACGAATTGCACTGCCAGCATGAAAATCCAACGTGCTAAGTATTACGCTTTTGGGACCTCTGCTCTCAATCTACTTGTATATACTTCTTCAACAGTGCTTCTTAGAGTTATGAAAGGCGAGTCACTATTCATAATTTCGCGCTAAACGCCATGAGCTAATCTCCGCGCCTTTTCTTTGGAATGTTCTATCAAATAGGTGTGATAGCTTCAATGAAATTAAAAAGGAATGTTCTTATAACTAAAATCGAGGTTTAGAAAGTACATTTAACACATTTAACAAATTCCAAATCGTATATAAGTACCACTAAAGCAGTGAAACGGCTATGAATTTTAAACTTTTTTAAAGTTCCCGTTTACCCCCAAAGTGATCTATCCCATTTAGTTAAACTTTCATGAAAAGTTTGAAATGTTTTGCCGAAAACCCTGGCTCTCCTTACGACGCTCAAGGAATCGGATACCATTTATGCTCAATAACTTGAATCAGATCTTGGAAACAAGCTCCATTAAAAGATGTTTTTAAAAATGGTTTTCTTATTTTTGTCTTTTCTCTTAGTTTCATATGACACAAGTGTGCATGGGAAAACAGTGGTCAAGTTTTATACTTAATATATTCATTGATATTCTTTCTTGAAAAACAGTTATAATTATTACTTATAACTATGATTTAAGATCTGTTCTGCAAATCAAAAGATATTACGTATCGTATTCAATTGCATATATAGTCTTTTCTTTTTCTACTTTGAGAACCAGCCAAAACCAATTATAGAAGACGTTAGTTTGACACAGAATTGCAACGTTTCTACGACGTGACAATCCAAGTATTCCTTTACATTTCATTCATCCTCATCTTCTTTTGTTCAAGCAAACGCTCGGCTGCCTCCGAAAACCCCTATTGCGAAATGTCGGCGTTGACAGAGACAGCCGCCATTTTGGACCCGCTTCAGATTTTTAAATGTTAATATCTAGAGTCTGGATTAATCAATATTCAAACAAATTGTATAGTAAGCATTATAAGAAGGGTTTCTATAAACATAATAAAAATAAATGAAAAATATTGAAAAACAAAAAAGTTAGAAAATACGGACTTTTTAAATTCGCTTCCGCTAGCGACCGGAAGTACCGACGACACACGAAAAGGTAATATCACATATCTTAAAGTCATCATCTATCATCTCTAACAAGTCTCCAGTTAATATCTTAAACCATTTTCGAAAAAAAGGGGGGACAAAATTGCATTTTAAAATCAGAAAACTGTCAATAACATGGAACCAAAGGTGAATATTCCAAATTTTCCTAGTCATGCCACAACTTCATATAATGACGCATAATTCCTGAAAGTTTCACTAAAAACCACTGAATAGTTTTTGAGAAATCGCGTGCACAAAATTTTGGGGAAAAAAAAAATAATAATAATAATAATAAGAAACAGTAGAATCACTAGAAGGTCTTCCGTGAAGACGGAAGACCTTAATAAAAAATCTAGATCAGTGTAGAGGAGTGAAAGAAATAAATAGGTTACTGGATTATATGTTAACCCAAATAATAAAATACTGCAGTTAACTTTAAATTATTAAACAATTTATACAAAATTATAAATAGACATAAATACGAATAATTGTAAATCTGCTACAAAATATTCTTAAAATTCTTTGGAATTTTGGAGTATCCACATCTTATTAACATCACTTCTCAAAGATACTGTTTCCAAATATATCGATCATGTATTGACTGATGGTTGTCTTTGCTTCACTATTTTAATTTCCACGGTCTAATTTATAAATTCTAAAATATGTAAGTTCATTTAAAGGTTTGTCTGTTGCTCAAATCTTCAAATCACTTTTCGTATTTAAAAAAAATCTATTTATATATCTTCATCATTTAGAGTGTATCAGTGCATATATCTTTATTGAAATGAAACTAAGGATTGTTTTGCATAGTTTTGTAGACTATATCCCATTATACGAAAGAAGGTGCGACAATGCATTCCCAGAACCACGTACATTCTTAGAAAAGGGGGATGAGAACAAAGTATTCAAAAGTCAGGTTTCCGGTATATAAAGTAGCACATTTTAAATATATCTTCAAAGTTTGACATGGAGAGTCTGCAAAGCCTCGTTTTGTTTCTTATCGTTGCAAGTCATTTTCCTGCAGTTTCTGCATTTGTAGAACATCATTTAAGGGTTGAGATTTTGACGGAAGCAGATCCCTTCTTCTGCAACGAAACCTTGTTTGACCTAGACACCTGTCAAAATGTAACATACGATTATTTCTGCACACTTAACAAGCCTACCCAGGACTGGTTTTATGAGCTTTACAGAGAGGCAATGTCGGACACACAACATACACGTAAGGAGATGAGGACACTGAGTGAGACAGAGAAGCAAGAATACATTGATGCTGTACTGGCCCTCAAAAACGACACGGTAAGGATATACCAGGGTATATGCTTAAAATATTATGTGATACGTTTAGCTTGTAGATTTGATTTAATTCTTCCAGAAGAATGAGGTTATGAAAAGATTTTTTCTGTGGTATATATTAACAGATCAGGTATTTATGTAAATCTTAGCCGTTCATAGAGGCGCTAAAAAATCATAAAATGTATTCATCTTTTGAATATTTTTTCCTACTCTCAAAAATCATTTGCCTTGGATTGAAGAAAAATTCAGATTTTTCAAAGTTGTTTGATTTTCTTAATCAAAAACACAAATATGTTTTCTATTAATGCACTAATATAAAAATTACATAATGAGAAATTTTTTTTTGAGTCAGTGAAGTGAAACTTCTGTAGATTTTAACATCGAGTATAAAATTTTATTTCTAAAATTTCGTTCTAGACCATATGGCCCAACAAATATGATGCAATTGCGATGATTCACACCAATCAGACCATTTGTTCCATTCATAGAGGGAGCAACTTTTTAGGCTGGCACCGAGTGTATCTTCTGATGTGAGTTTTTTTTTATCTATTACCATTCCATTTTGATAGTTTACGTATTACATATTATGCAATCATTTCAACACATTTGTTCAATTTTTTTCTTCTTAAGTGAAAATGAAGCGGCAAAGTTATTTCATTCATTTTAGTTAAAACAGCAACCTTAATTGAATTAAAGCTTTGGCAATTTTGTCTTGATCTAATTATATCGAATTTAATCATCAATTATGCGCTATTTTCAATAGATTTGAGGCAGCTCTTCGTCAGAAAAATAAAAAGGTGGCTCTACCGTATTGGGATTCCCTACTAGACAACTACATGGACAACGACCCAACACCTTCAAAGTCTGTTGTTTTTACAGAGGAATTTCTGGGAAACGGTAATGGTAATGTGAGTACAGGTCCATTTAAATTCTGGAGAGACGTTGATAATTGTACTCTACAGAGAAGTCTTAATTTTAATAACTCCGGTAAATTGATGTCACATAGCACAATCGATATGATAAAGAATGATTTGTCAGTCCATCACATGAAACAAATAATTTACGATAGGAAAAACAATACTCACACCTTGGAAGGTCAACACAATGTTGTTCACAATTGGGTGGGCGGTATGATGTCCATTTTAGACGATTCACCCCGTGACCCCGTCTTTTTTCTCCACCATGCTTACATCGACTATATATGGACAAAATTTACTCAGAAACAATCGGCTATGAACGTTGAAGAAGAATATGAAATTATTGGGAATGACATAAAACGTCATTATCCTAACCGAACGATGGATTGCTTCTATTGGATGAGAAATGAGGTCGGACTTAAACCAGATCTTGCAGCAAATGTTCTTTATGAAGATTCACCTGCATGTCCGGACTGTGGTCAGACTAAATACCTGAAATGTGATATGAATCTAAAAAGATGCGTTCCAAGTAATGAGTTTACAACGGCTGGAAAAGATAGTGTTCGCATGGCATTTTTCAAACAAATTTGTTTTCTTTATTTCATTTCACTTCTACTTTAATTATCATTCTAAATTTTTTTTTTCAAATGCTGACTGACGCTTTTCATACTCATTGTTAGGTCTATCGAAAGACCAACGGTAGTTGACTTTTTCCGTCGTTAGAAATTGACCTCCTCCAGTGTTTTCAGGTATCAAGTGTTGTATTCATTCTTTTAGTTTAATTCAGGGATTGATCACGGGTCTTCGTTTCATTTTAAAGCAAAAATAGAATTAAGAATCTAATTAGATTGTACAAATCATGAACATTCAAATACCCATCATATCTATTGTTTTCGTTGAAATAAAGCAAATGCTGCAATTGAGTAAAAAAGATTGTATTGTTTAATGTCAGCTCTTTATTTGTTATACAGCAGTCAGTGAGAGAAAAATAACGACAAAACTCCTGCATTATTCTATTACATAAAGCTAAAAAAATATTTATAACTACTACTCAATTAAATAAACTTTTCCAAGAAAATATGCACCTAGTTTCGATTACCTAGAATTTTTTCTTTTGCCCATAATAAACGTGTACTAATCGTCTTTCATTCCATATTTCCAGTCATTTTAAATACCACGAAAACCATATTACATTTAAATATATATACACGTATTGTTTATTTCAAATATGGGTCACCTATGTTAATGTGTATCGGAGTGTGAAATGTTTTTATTTCAGCAAGCCTGAACTGAATCTATATCATTTATATAATTCGATATCCAACTATCATAATAAAAGAAAGCTAAATTGTAATCGCTATATAATCTTTCTTATGATGTCATACAAGTTAAATCTGTTATTGTTATGTAGTGGGATAGATTAGACCCTTGAGGGGATATGCGTATTGTATGCTTTTAATTTAAGAACAGATGATAAAACAAACTGTTATCAGAATTTTTATAGTGACAACTTTTACGTTTGTATAAATAAAATGAATGTTTCACAGCTTAGATTTATTTTTTGAGTGACAAAAATGGTATACATTAATTCGAAGAGTTACAAAGAGGTAAAATTTTGAACACCATGAGGGCTTACAAATTTCTACTATTTATAAAATATATTATTTACATGTTCATCATATACAACTTTTAAAAAGTGCTAAAATATATGTACCAATCAATGCATCCTTTTTTTGTAAATATTGCAAGCATTAACTTCTTTTTAATTGATGCACACGACAACTGAATCAAAACTCCCTTATTATCAAATATTATGAAAGTTCCCGTATATAGTGAACTTTTATAGTTAAACATAAAGGGGTAACGAACCTTATTCAAGCTCAAAAGTCCAACAAACAATACAATCTAGAACAGAGCAAACTTGGACCTGAGAAAAAAAATCAGAGGTGGGATCAGGTGCTATGGCGGTGAGAATCCCCTGCCGACCGGTCATATATATGATCCCACTTTTGATGTTTCGGAGGTCCGTGTTTGCTCTACTCCTATTTTGCATTGTTTTATGGACTTTGATATTGAATACTGTTCGTTATCTCCATATGCTTCATATACAACATATATACATATACAAACGAGGAAAATTATTGACAAACAAATTGAAGAATATCAGCGGTCTCGTTTAAAGCAATTATTTCGTAAGTTCTATGGTCGATACCATGACCTTGTCAGCAAATACAATTTTTCATTGAGACAAATGCCGACTGACGTGTTTCAAACTAGTTGTTAGTCCATTATTTATGCACAGAATGGACGACGGGTTTTTTCCCGTTACCTCCCGATCATGACAAGGAGCACAAGGCGGGTGTGAACGGTCGGCAAGGAATGCTCACTCCTCCATGGCACCAGATCCCACCTCTGATGTTTTTGGAGGTCAGTGTTTGCTCTGCTCCTATTTTGTACTTTTTTATGGACTTTGATGATATTGATTGATTGATTGTATACTGTTTAACGTCCCTCTCCAGAATATTTCACTGATATGGAGACGTCACCATTGCCGGTGAAGGGCTGCAAATTTAGGCCTATGCTCGGCACTTACGGCCTTTGAGCAGGGAGGGATCTTTATCGTGCCACACCTGCTGTGACACGGGGCCTCGATTTATACGGTCTCATCCGAAGGACCGCCCGATTTAGTCGCCTTTTACGACAAGCAAGGGGGTACTGAAGACCTATTCTAACCCGGATCCCCACGGGGCTTGATGATATTGAATACTGTCGTTATCTCCATATCCTATTTATACAGTACTAAAGTGTTACCATTGTTGAATATAAAGTTACGTTTTCGGCATAATAATGCATCCCCAATTAGAATCTATATCTATAGTAATAGTGATATGTGAGGAAATATTTTTCAAGTTCATTTAAATTACAAACTAGAAAAAAAAATCGTCTCTTTTGCATATTATTTGATGAAAACCATTTTACAATTTTAGTTATACTTTTTTCAGTCAATTGAAAGGAGGAAAATTTAACAAAACATATCCTTTATCATTTTTAAAGCTGAGCACGATTCGTAAAAGGAATTCAGTTGTAATATCTGAGGGCCCCTATAGAAAACGTTCACATAATTACTATTTAGTGTAATGAGTCGTTATCGGTGTAGATGTATGCAACAAAGCTCTGGGTAACGACACTTATTCCACGGGAGAGGATAAATATACGAAAGAAACATATTAATTCAAAGGTCAGTGAAGAATACAGACACAAATACACGCAATTTCAATAAAATATAAACAAAGTCAATGTAAGATTACCAGCGCGAACACTTGTCACCATTCCACGCCCATACCCGTGATAACTAAGCGGTCAGGTTTAACGAATGCGAAGGTATTTCCAAGTGATTATATTGTAGGTAGTAAAATATGTCGTATGTGGTATGCCTATTAACTAGTCGTTTTTATCTGTTAAGTTAAAGATTTTCCACTTTTTTACAATTTAAAAAAGGTGTAAATTTTCATGAAAATGTTTATTTACGAAGTTTTGATTACCTAGAAATTTTGGGTACCTGTAAAGTACGAAACGAAATAGAAACGAAACAAAACGAAACGAACTGAAACGAAACGAAATCTGCCGAAACGAAACGAAATCTACCGAAACGAAACGAAACCTACCGAAACGAAACGAAACCAAGACGAAACGAAACGAAATCAAAATGAAACCTGCCGAAACGAAACGAAACAAAACTTTCAGAATGTTTTTCAAATCAAGCTATATATACATGTACATTTAAGGAATCACTGTCTAGTTAGGAGAGTATGCCAGGGCATCAACAATAGTGGGAAACATGGGATAATTTGCATAACGGGCGAAGCCCGCTATGCTAAAATTATCCCATGTTTCCCACTATTGTTGATGTCCCTGGCATACTCTCCTAACTAGACAGTGATTCCTTATATTTCCATTCCATTGTGAAATAAAATTACAGATTTATACTTAAAAATGAAGAGATAGATTTAAATTACACAAGGACTCCCATGCGCATTTCAATAGTCCTCGCCCACTGACGCCAGACATAAAGGAAGCTGCACGAGATTTACATGCATATTTGGCCTCCTTAGCGTCAAGCACAGAGACAGATGCGCACGAGATTTGCATGCGTTTAAGGCCTTCTTAGCTCCTGACCTATCGACCTGCCTAATTTACATTCCGGTAGAACTGTCAAGAAATCAACTCCGGTGACTTTAAAAGGGTTATCACAGAGAAAAAAAAATTAGAAATTGAAATATATAGTTATATTTAATGTGTAACTGCATATGATCTATTTTTACTTTGTATGAAAGTTTTATAGTTCAAGCATCACAGGCAATTGTTTCGCTTCAAGTTCATACATAGGCATCGGAAGGAAATTGAAAGGGGGGGGGGCTTAACCAACAAAAAGGTAAACTCCAAATTTCAATGCCTATATAAAAAAGTGCCCCCCCCCGACGCCTATGTCATATTTGTTATCATCTTACAGAATACCTACTTAAAATGACATCGTTCGCTTCGAGAGACCTTTTTCTTGTCAGTTAAATCATTTTATAGACGTCTCTTGTCGAGCTTCTTTATTGCAAACCACTCATTTCTTCCTCGAAAATTACCTCGATAAAAATAGGACCGTATGTACGAAATCTTGTGTATCCTATGTACGTAGATACATGTAGGAGACACAAGATTCCAGTTGGAGTTACATGTATAATTGAACGATAAAACTAGACATTTCGGAATGGAATACTAAATACTCCAAGTCTCTGCTTTTTATCCTATGTTTTAAGACATTCGCAATACAACAGTACAGTGACTATTTTGACCCTTACGTAAACGAGTCTTTACATGTACATGTAACACATCAACTTTGATAGATATGTTGTATCTAGATAAATAAGGACTGAAAATAAGAGTAAGATATAAAAATTAGAAAATACTGCACATATTGAAGTTATACATGCATAGTACGCTCGTGCATATTTGCCAACTGTCAAACATGTAGATACATTTTTAGACTCAGAAGTGAGCATAATCTATTAGTAATTAAATTTTATATTTACAAGTGCTTGAACTACCGGTACATAAATTTTATTTGAATTAAAAAAAAAAGTCCACATGCAGTTACACATATAATTTTATACATGTACCTTGATTTGAAAAAAAAAAATTGATAGTTTTGTTTCGTTTCGTTTCGGCAGGTTTCGTCTTGATTTCGTTTCGTTTCGGTAGGTTTCGTTTCGTTTCGGTAGATTTCGTTTCGTTTCGGCAGATTTCGTTTCGTTTCAGTTCGTTTCGTTTCGTTTCGTTTCTATTTCGTTTCGTACTTTACAGGTACCCAGAATTTTTTTGTCCAAATATACGTTTTAAAGGCCTCCTCAGTCAATTATTATTGCTGGTCTTGTTTATGACTAAAATTAATGATACCATGACTGATACATCTGTTCCTGTTTTTAGATATCTTACTAGAAGAAGACGTTAATGGTAATATAACAACTATGCTATATGATAAACATGATGATTTTAACTTTTCAATCGTCAACTTCCTTAAAAGCATTCACTTATCACCTACATACTGGGGTTTATTGCTCTCAGTTGATGCTCTACATATGAACAATATCTTAAACGGATTAAGTTATTGACAACAAGTTGATGAAACAACATTCTCGTTTAATATTTGCGACTTAAGGTAGGTCGCAAAACTCGCAAATATTTCTCTTACGCGAATAGAAGTTGGTTTACAGAAGTCACGCGCAAATGCTGACTGATGTTTTTCATACTAATTGTTAGACCATTATTTGTACACAGAATTGTTGACGGATTTCCCGTTATTTCTCGATCATGACAAGGAGTACAAGGCGGGTGTGACTAGTCGGCAGGGGATGCTCACTCCTCCATGTCATCAAATACATGCACCTCTGGTGTTTCAGAGAATTTTGTTTGCATTTGTATATGTATTGTCTGAGTGGATTACTGAGCTTGAATGGTGGAATGATGTTTGTTATCTCCATATATATATTATACAATGAAGAAAGTGAACCTTACAATCAAGGACAATGATTTTACCTGCATTGTCTATCTAATTTTTATATATAATTCAATAAAAACAGAAGGATAGATGGGTTTTTTTTTATTTCCCTTCAATTACTTAATGCAAGATTTATATATCAACGTTATACTTTTAATGCATTTGAAAATAATTCTCCTTTCAATGTTCTTTTCCAATATCCTGACTTATTTTTCCACATAATTCAAATGATTTATAAATTATGCCA